TCGAAATTTAATTTAACAATGTAAAATATTATACAGATATTACTTGTGTAACGCGTTGATGTTGTAATTGTAATTTAATTTTATTGTAAATAAATGTTTATAGTATTGGATGTGTAATGTAAAATTTATGTAAACTATGTCCAGATAAATGTCATCAAATTAATTTTTGTAATTTGTACAATTATACTAATAAATTATACGTTAATTAAACTATTAGGGTAATATATCATATATCTGATTTTTGAATATCCTGAATTTAATAGCATTTATCTTGGCTCAGTACACCAATTTGTTGCGTTACTGATGTAAATTATACGAAATCAGCGAAACGTATAATAACAAGAATTATTTATTGATGATAGAGATTTTGACACATATATGTAATTTTAACTCTTTTTTAATTTGAATTTTATTTTAAATATCACAAAGTCAATAATTTTAAGTTACTTTTAATTTTGATGAAAAATAATCAACATATATTTTACATTTAGTATATAGATTTATTTTTATTAAATAAAATTTAGTACAAGTTTGAGCTTTGATTGAGCCAATGGTTAAATATTAATTTCTCACTCGCAAAATTTTCGTCAAGTATAATTTTAACATTATAGAATTGTAAAAATGTATTATCATTGGTGATTAATTTTTTTATATGTAAGGGTCTCGTTATTGTATCTCCGTCAGATAATTGTCACTAAATGCTTGGTTCATACTGATGCAAAATCGAAATTATTTTCATAACGAAGCATTATCCTTCGTTGTTTTCTGTAAAATCCATTTGCAAAGTGTAGTTAGTTACGTTAGAGATTCTTGTTACAGAATCGGAATTAATCCTGAAGGTTTTATAAGCAGTTCTTGCGCGGAAATAATTTTGTCAATGAGAGTCAATTATAATTATATTATTTATAATATATATTTTAAAATCAAGTATTACGAATTAATTCAGTGGCATAATTTAGAATACAATTTTCTTCATTTTCTTAGTTTTACTAAATGTTCTGCTATTAATAATAATGCTAGTAACAATACTGTCTTAATGACAATAAAACTTTAGTATCTTATAGATATATAATATATTTATTTAAATTCAAATTTCATACAAATGATTTACTTCACTTTTTTTTACTTATATTGTAATAAAAATGTAGTTACGAATGTATATATTGAATTCTCTAACAGTTAACTGTTTTAAAAATTATTTTCAGGTATTGGAGATCCCGCCATTCTAGGATATTAATTAATTAATTAATTGCAGCAATTTATATATTTATATATCTATATTTATAATAAAATGCATGCACGTATTATAAGATTATATTTAACAAATTTTGATTTTTGTTGACTTAGATAAACCAAAATGTTTTATACTCTTTCAACAATGGTATCATGAATACATGAATTTGATAAAAAATGTGTGGATACAGAAAATTCGAGATAAGTCGAATGGGTACCCTCATATTAGCGGTATTATAATAATTAAAATGTTTAGACATACAGAAATATATAAAGGAAATATTGTCAAACTTTATATATATATAATAATTATTTCAATATAAAATAATAGAAAATAATTCTTTAAAATCCCACTATTATTGGGTTCGGCTCATCTCGAACAGTTGGTACCCGAGAAACTTTGTACCCACACATATAAAAGATTACAGTAATATACGTGTATTTTAATTTTTATTATTATTAAATATATTCCTTCGTAACTACTATTCAACAAGGAAATCTTTCTATCCATTCATTTTCAATAAAAGATTACAATTTTTAGTAATGGCAGAACATATATTTTCTCGCATACAAATTTTAATATAATGTTAAAGATGCGATAAAAATGGTAATTGTAATTGACACGCTGCTAAAATTATCACATAAACGATCAGGAAAATTCGAGAGAGATTCACACCTGTAACAAAAAATCTCATAACATCGCTGTTTGACGGGATTGCTTAACTTTTCTTTGCGAATAGATTTGATATGAATTTGACGTAGAAACGGAATGTATTAAATTCGCTCCCTACTATGAAGATTTTTCTTTCTTATTGTATCGGATATTAACCAGCGCGTATCACAAAATAAATATATTAAATTTTATTAAATTATACTTAATAAATTTTATAATAAGTCAACAGTTATAAAAATAAATACGATTCAATTACTGCTAATATTTAATAAATTTCATTTGTATTTTTTCTAAAAACTATACGTACATTTGATAAAATATTATATGTGTTCTCTTATACGTATTTTCGACGTTTTCGTGTAATCCCATTTTATTATATAGTAATGTAATTTTTTAATTATGTTCTCTCTTAATATAATTTTCCATGTATTTTGAACAGCATTTATATTGTATATATTATGATTGTAAATATTATTATTATTATTATTATATATTGTCACCGTTATTGTAATATACACGTATATATTTATTGTACATATATTATAATTATTAATGTATTAAATTGAATAAAGAATTATATCCAAAGATGGCATTAAATATTTTGTATTCAAGATGTATATAAAAAATAAAAAAAATAAAAAAATAAAAAATGAAAATATAAAACAACAATTATACTTATCCGCAAAAACAGACCGTTGTTACGATGGTCCGTTTTTTACGAGTAAGTATAATTTATAAAGAAAAGAGGACCGCCGATAAAATCGGCGGGGGTGGTGGAGGGCCTCTCTAGCTGGTTTTTGCTATATAAAATCTTTTAAATTTAAACTGTCACAATATATGATTGGAAAAGTTTTAAATGTATTCAAGATCTCTATGTAATTACTAATAACTGTTATCTATATTTAGTGAAAACGGGCTAAGTTAACATTTGATTGTTTGTCTTTGTTTGTCTAACGGATCGATAATTAATTGGCATAGGGAAGATTCGAACCAAAAAATCGTGGTCATTATACCGACCCGATCGTGGACATTGGCTACATAGTTCAATGTCCACGTTTTGTGGACATAGAGGCGCTTCGAAATAAAGTATCAGCTAAGGGGTGCGTCTCCGATGGAGAAAGAAATAGCGGAACGGAATGAGAACGGAACATTGATAGAAAAGAGATAGGATTGTTCTATCAATGTTCCGTTATTTCTGACTCCATGTGACTGCACCCTAAATCCCGGGCATGGCCGCTCGCTTCTCTCTGCTTTCTAAGCACATAAACAATCACAGGAATTTAAACGGAAACGTTTAAATGGTCCTGACAGAGAGAGAGAGAGAGAGAGAGACAGAGAGGACAGATAAGAAGAAGTGAAATAGAAGTGTAGATAGCGCTACTAGCTTATTTCGCGCACGCGCACTCCATTTTGGGCTTCATAAAATCAGGAGAGTTGCGACTGTGGTTCAGTGCTATGGTCCAAATATTATTTTATCTTTGTTGTTCACCGAATATTAAACAAAGACAAACTGATACTCGCAGTTCGCAGTACCTTGATAGTGTTTTCGAACGCAACTGAGGCTTCGGATCTCGTTAACGGTTGAATTGATCGAATTCTATATACGCTATGCCGTTCAATCGATAGCCACCACTTATTTCAATCTAACCTAAACAGCCCTTTTCCATTTTTCGTCGAAGTTAAATGTGCTTCTTTACGTAAAAGATTTTGAACTTTTTTACAATATCATCGTGATATAAACAATTTCAGTAAAAAGTGCCTTGTATACATACACGTAAAACATAATTTATATAATAAGTGAAAGTGAATAAAATTTAATAGTTGGTAAGAAGCGTATGTAGTATGTACGTTTCTATGTGTCGTATCGTTAGGTATTTTTTTTATGAGCCAAAAAGCTGAAGATCTTCCTTATCGAATTGGGAATTAAGTGTAACACGATCGCGTACGGTATCTGAGAATGGATTGAAATGGATTAAAATCGATTCAGATTTTCAGAAATACGGATTCATGAATGTTAAAATGAATCCTTTTCAATCGGCATACGTTTTTATTCATTTATAGGAATTGCATGGAGCGTATCTGTATACCTTTCAATCTAAAACTAATATTATAGCGTTTTCAATGCGTTTGTGACCATAGTGAATACTGTACGATTCAAAATTTTGAATAGGAAACGCAGTTTTTCAATCCAGTTGCATCCAATTGAATCCAAAAATGTCCAATCCATTTTAATCCATTCTCGGATGCTGTGTCGTATTAATTTATAGGCCTGTTTTATTGTATTTTGTAGACCATTTGCGCTAATTTAATATTCGTGTTAGTAATAGGTCGTTGGAAAATTAAGAGTATAAATTCTACTTATAACGCTCATGAGGATTATCTGTCCTTGTTTAACTTTTAATGAATACAAGGAAGAAATGATTTCATGAGCATTGCTAGCATCAAGTAAAACACATTCTATAGAATTGTTTCATTTCCACACAACACGCCATAGATAACATGGCTAACGGTTTTTGTACAAATTTATGTATGTTACATATTTAAAGTCTGGTTTTATGACATCCTATTGAATAAACGTAATTCTCAAGCATGCGCTAGTCTATCAAGCCAAGGATCGAGTATATAGTTGTTTAATTAATATCGTCGCAGAACTCCAGCTAGTAACAGCCTCAATCTTTTAATGTTGTTCCTGTCTAGATTTGGAGTTTAAATAATGTGATGGAATTCTCTGAGCCATCTACAAAATCTGATAAAATAACAGTTTGCTTGTACAATATACTCTCATGGATATGTAATAGGCCCCAAACTGCTAACACTAATGCAAATGTCCAATTTTCATTGCCATTTGTGGTTTCAAATTGATTGGACTTTGGCCTCATTGGTGAAAGTGGTGTGGCCATACAACGCGCTTAATACATATTAATCTACGGATTGTTTTGTACAGGACCTTGGATTTAAGTTTACTATTGTTTATTGTTATTATTAGCTGTGTTTATTATTAATTTGCATATGATACAATAATTACTGTATAATGTACATTTACAATATGATAAAAAGATCAATATTATAAGGCGTTATCTGGTGAACAAGTAATATGATAGAAGATAATGGTATACAAGATAGGGATGTGAATGTTCTACTGTTATTTGTGTAATCAATTTTGTTAGCTAAACATCTGTGCTCCTTGTTTGTACTTTTATAGTATTTTAACAGATTACTTGTGACACAACGCAACGGAAGTTGACATAAACCAAACAGTTATGGAAGGTATAGCTTCAGAAGATAATGCAAGTAATCAAAATCGAAATATTTGTGGTGATGGAACAGTCTCTAGCATAAAATGTGAAAATCAGAATTGGAGAACATCACATGTACAGTCAATCAAATTAGAGCCTGCTACTGATAATAGTAGATCATCTGGCACTGACAATAGTCATTATGATATGGACGAAGAAACTACATGTCTTTATACTAAAGATGTTTTACACAATGGCTTGTGTCAGGAAGATTTACAAAATAATGAAAATTTACGGCAATTTGACGTGTTGGACGATATAGATCGCCATCCAGAACAGAATGATGATTCTGATGAAGATTCAGATACAAATGAAAGTATGGATTCTGATGTACCAGATGAAGAAATTGAAGCGATGCTAGAAGAAGGTATATTTATATTTTCTTAAATCTAAAGTTTTCACTCAAAAGGTAAACTATATTTTATAATAAGAGAATCAAAAAGATTTTTGTTTATTTTTAATGTGAAAAATTTGCTGTATGTTTTATATATTGATACAAACAATTACCTGTGAAATAATTTTAATTACTTATTTATGAGATGCATGAATTTTATATTTTTGTCAAGAACTACAATTCAAGATTTTTAATTTTACGCTTTCAAGATCAGATTAAATGTTTTCTGCAGCAAAGAGAATAAGAAACCAAGTAAGGTTATTTGGTTCACTTATTTGTGCTATTCATATATTAGTTTGTTTTCCACTTGTTATTGTTCTTATTTTAGTTAAATTTCATGTATGTAGGTTTACCAGAAGAATTTAAAGGGAAAAGAAAAGATAAAAAGGATCGTTTGCCCTATGAAGAAAAGGAGAAACTTGTTTTAGATGGTACATTAGTATAAAGTATTACAAGAGAAGTACTGAACAATTATACCTAATATTTATATTGCTATAATTTTATTGCTCTTTTTTTAGAAATTGGACATAATCATTTTGATGTTTTACCTGAAGGATGGGTACAAGTGACACATAATAGTGGAATGCCATTATATCTTCATAAACAAACTAGAGTTTGTACACTAGCAAAACCATATTTTCTTGGTCCAGGAAGCGTTAGGAAGCATGAAGTTCCTGTCAGCGCCATTCCTTGTCTTCAGTATAAAAGAGCATTAACAGAAGAAGAAGAAGAACGAAAAAAGGAGATGGAGCGGACACCAAACACTGATGCTTGTAGTCTTCCCAGTGCAAAGATCGAAACTATACAAGAGAATCGTGCAGCTCATTCATTAGATAGCGAGCAGTTAAGAAATTATTGTCAGTCTTTGTTCCGTTTCAAATCTATTAAAGTAATGAGATTTCAGTAAGTACAAAAAATAAGTTGATTATATTGCACGCATGCACATACATAGAATACTAACTCAATATGACAAAAAGAGATGAACCTAATTCCGATCTATCCTTGTGTCTGTGAAATAATCATAAATAATAACAAATATTATTTCATGATTATTTCACAGACACTGTCTGCACCACAGCCAATAAAATGGCAAGATTTTAATCTAGCTAACAATCCAAAAAAAACAAGCATTGTATACCACTGGCTTAAGTTGGTTCATATCATGAAATTTGTTTTACATCGATTAATTCTTCTATTGTAGATCTTGGTCAGCACGTCGAAAATTTACAAAAATTAAAAAACATCGTAAACAACTTGAGCGTCCAACTTTACCGGATGGTACAAAACTGATAACTTTTCCAGTCAGTTGTTCTAGTACAAGTGGCAATTGGAATATTGCGGACGATAATGGACAGAGACCTGCAAAACACTGGATAATGAATCCATCAGGCAAAAGTTATGTTTGTATTCTTCATGAATATGTTCAACATGCGTTAAAGAAACAGCCAACATACAAATTTAAAGAATTAGGTAATCATATTATTATTATTTAGTATATTTAGAATACAAGGTGCTCAAAAAAGATCAGAACTCCTGAATGTCTCGAAAAATAAAGTTTTACAAAAAAGTGATTCAGATAAAAGTTGTAGGGTATAAAAAGATCTGTTTACTTTCTTATCACTTTGATCTTGGGTGGCGTCGTTAAGGTCAGGTCAAGGGCACATCGATTTTTTTTAATAGAATACTCTATTTTGTATTATATATTCTCGTAGTTTACCTTATCAACTTCTCATCACACTATAATAAAGTTTATTTTTACTAATTACTTTTTTTGAGTTATGAAGCTTAAAAATTACAGTATTACCGGTGATAGTATTTCTCAAAGTGTCCAATGGACGACTAAATTCGCTTGAATGTTGCTCAAAATTATCTCGACATTTGTCATAATTAAGAAATATCTTATTGAATCGCGAGAATTTAAATCAAATGAATACTGATGAGAACATGCCATAACGGTCAAGCTAGATCTCGGGCGCTTCTAGTTTGGTAGTGTCGCGTTTCAAGTCTGAAGAAAATTCGGCGTGCAATTAAGAATCTACAAACGTAGTATATAAATTCACATACAATTATTATTTTTGCACCAAAAATTTATTTTTATGTAAAATTAATTTTATGTAAAATAATTTTTTTTCGCTGTTTAACCAAGTTTGCTAAACAGTTTAACCAAAACTGCTAAACAATTTAAACAGGTTAAACAACGAAGAAAGACAAACTGCAATTATCTATCTAAAAGTAATAAATAGCTCATCTTCTGTCTACAATAGAGAATTTTTTAACAACTGTGGAATAATTGCTGTGTAATAATTGCTGAGAAGTGAGAGATGGTTTCAAAGAAACCAAAACGTCCAAAACATTAAAATTGTTGTAAATATATAATTTTATTTGAAATATATTATTATAATTGCGCTCTAATTATCGCGCTGTACTAATGCTCTCATTGCCCGGTTATTAAAATTTATTGTTTGAGAGAATTTCGAGAGTCTTATCTTAAAATTATTAGATCTTTTTAAATCCTACAACTTTTATCTGACACACACATTTTCCTGTAAGACCTATATTTTTCAAGATATTCAGGAATTCCGACATTTTTTGATCACTCTGTATAATAACGACATATAAAACGTGTTGTGTGTTTAATATCCATTGGTTTTTTTATTACTAAGATGGAATTAATGTATTTAATTATAGAAAACGCTGCAACACCCTATTCCGCAGTAGTTTGTATCAATGATATGGAATATGGAAGCGGATTCGGTAGCAGCAAGAAACAAGCAAAAGCCAACGCAGCCCGAAAAACCCTTGAAATTTTAATTCCTCAAATGAAAGATAAAATTTCTGGTGAGAACAGTGGGGATAATGGATCGAATAACGATAGTCGTACAATAAAAGCATCTAGGGGAAATTCTGATGCCGATCTTTCGTTCTTCGACGAAATAACCATTACGGATCCGCGTGTTGCAGAATTTTGTGCAAAAACCACGGAACCTTCCCCACATGCTATTTTAATAACTTGTCTTCAAAGAAATTATGGTTTAGGAGATATGCACATTAATTATTCAGTAAACACATTGAAACATCAACGAAATGAATTTACAATGAAAGTTGGGAAACATGAAGCTACTGTTGTATGTATGAACCGTTTCCTACTTGTAAATAGAATTAACTTTAGATAAGAATTAACCTTAGTTGAATATAATTGCAGGTTTGTCGTAATAAGAAAGACGGTAAACAACGAGCAGCACAAGCAATACTACAGCTTATACATCCACATATACAGTCTTGGGGATCGTTATTGCGTCTTTATGGATCGCGAAGTGTAAAATCTTTTAAGGAAAAGAAACAATTGGAACAGGAAATAACCCTTTTACAGGGTAAAGCTGCCGTTAATCAGCCAAATCATGCTATTTTAGGTAAACTTAAACATGAAATGCGAAAATTAGCTGAACAACGCGAAGCAATACAACCTATTGGTAAGTTTGTACCACCAGATTTACCAACAGGATCTGCAGCTAATCTCAATAATGTAGATTTATAAAAAAAATAATTTACGTATAGCTTGAATTATAGAGTATTACTTTTTAGAAACTATTTTCTCGCCAATGTTATTATAAATTTTGTATAAATATTTTTGTGTTAAAATGTAAAATACTATTAACTATTTTTAAGTTGACGAAACATTTAAATTGCCTAAATCAAAACATAACATGTTAAATATCATTAGTGCTAAATATTTAATATCTATAGTTTTATAGTGGAAAATCCTTTTATTCTAAAATTGTTAATATTTTTCTATTCTGGAATTTTCCTTCAAATTATATACTATTTATTCCACTGATGGAAAAAAGAAAATGATTATCTTCTGACATTCATTTTCGGATATTTCGGATATTAACTAGCAATAATATCAGTTATAATAAATGTAAAAGCTATATAAGAGAAAAATTCTAATTTATAAGGGAACATAATAAAGAAGTTTTATTTTATTGTAAATAATTATAACATATAAATATAAACATGTTTATATATATATATATATACACATATATATTTATTGAATGTGTTTTTGTACATATATATATTCAAAAACACATTCAATAAATGTTAATAGTATATGACGCCTAATATGATGGACATTTGTATTCTATTCCTTGAAAGAATGATCCTGACCTAATTTTCGATTATCCACTATAAGGAGTATCAAATTATTTCTACGAAATTTTAATTAAGTATTATACTTTGGAAAGATAATATGGCTTAGAGAATATTATATGAACATGGATATAAACTTAATAAAATATAATAGAGATTATGTTTTTATTTTATTAACCAGCTAAACATTAAAAGATTAAAACCAGATTTTTTTGAATTATTTAATATTGTCGAAATAAAACATAATTTTATATGAGCAAATTATTGTTATTATATATTATGTTGTATGTAATATATTTTTCCAGAAAGATACTATTTATTTTTTACAATCTACTAAACTTTTTCATCTACTTACAATATATCATGAACATCATTGTAATTCTTGTGTCACATTTATGTTATTTTTTTTTATATCTCTGGTTTTACACACGCACACGCGCGCGCGCACACACACACACACACACACAGACACATACACACAGACACATCTAAGATTAGTTTAAAATCATATAGAATGCTACCAATGAGTATGTACGGAAAGGGATAAACCTATCTGCATATTTATACATATTTTCGTATTATATAAAGATATTCAACAATTTCCTAAATTATCGCATTGGTCAATGAAAATTTATTTACACAGCCAGGGAAGCAACAAATATGTAAATTTTAATCTTAGTTATTCCAAAAAGATGGACGCTTTTATTCTCCAAAAAATTAATTTTGTTGCTTTCTTGGCTATCTGGCTAGTATAAAAATCTAGAAATGTATATATACTAATACAAATTTTTTCTATCACTCTATATAAAATTAAAATAATAAAAATTTAATTTACATTTAAAAGATATACGCTCAAAACATTTTTGAGAATATATAATATTATTCGATATAAAGTGGATGAAATATTGATATGCTTGTAAGTTCCATTACATTATAAGATATTTTCAACAAACTGAGAATAATTTTCTCTTTTTTAAATATTAGTTTAAAATTTCTTAAATATAAACTTGGAGAGAAAAGGACACTAGGAGTCAAGCGCAGATAACTTTACGCAAATGCTGATATATAACAAACAAAACTTTTATTATAATAATTATGCTTACATGTTTCGGCTCATTTTTGAGCCTTCTTCAGAGACAATGAAATTAAATAATAATAATAAAGGAATACGAGATGTTTAATCACAGTAAACTCTCCCACAACCAAGAAATCAAATCTGATGTTAATTTCCTCTAACAATACATGTCACAATAAAGGGAAATAAAAAAATAAATTAAGAAAAAAGAGAAAAGAAATGGATAATATGCCGAAACTGGATAATATTATATGGATTATTTATGTAATTTTATTGTCTCTGATGAAGGTTTAAAAATGAGCCGAAACATGTAAGCATAATTATTACGATAAAAAAATTTTGTCTGTTATATATCAGCATTTGCGCCTAAAGTTATCTGCGTTTGACTCCTAGTGCCCTTTTCTCTCCAAGGAGTTTATGTTATTTAAAATTATTATACGTTTTAAAATATCTTGAATTTTATAAAATTAATCAAAAGTATTTAATTTATCATGAGCATAGCTATGATATTGCTATAGCTGCACGAATTTCTACAACTTGTTCATTACAATTTGTATCATATAATTCATTCTACGTACTTGAACTTGTCTTTCGTTTTACTACTGGGGAACTTTACTAAATCGTTTAATATTGATGGATAATACTGAAATAGGCACTACACATAACACAGTTGTTTTGCACTTATATATGTATAAACAGCTAATTTCAATATATAACATAAATTGCAACGAATTCTCTGTAATGGAAACCTTTTAACATTCGCAAATTTTTTATATAATTTTCTATTTGTTATGTGTTATTGAGAAAAAGCTTTTTTTATTATCTACTAACTGTAATTTAAATACTATTAGCGATATATATCCACTTTACTATTTTTTCAGTTATTTAGATTACACGCGCGTGCGCGCACGCAACACACGCACGCACGCGCACACATATACACATACACGTTATTCCGCAATTTTTGGCAAAGCTCTCTTCTATATATATAGAGCGGACTAAACTAAATCGAGAAGTCCTTTACCATTTTGCATTCTTCACATTAACGAGATATTAATTTATGAAAATAGCCAAATTTGAAAATGTCCATGGCCTTATCAATGTTTTAATTATTTGCGACTTTTACTACTGAAGATGGCTCGGATGTAAGCCGAAACGTATAGTATTATATTAATTTTATCGTTATTTTATGTACTATAATATATTTTTTCTATGTTCGCAACACTAACAGCGATTTTACTCTCATTAGCCCTTTTTATCTTGTTATTTGCAATTTTCGAGAGTCTACTTTTATATTTAATTGTTAAATTTGAAAATATTCAAATTCGTTCGGCTTACTGCCAAATGCAAGCGTGTGGCGAGATAAGACTGCTCGATGAGGCGCGCGTTCACAGTCGCTAGGCACGTTGATACCAAATATCGCTTATAAACAACGTGCCTAGCAAAGAACGTGCGTTTCTCCGGGCAATCTTATCGCATGGTTCCATTTGACTATTTTCAAAAATTAATAACTTGTTAACTAATACGAAAAATGCAAAATGCTAAATAGAGGTCTTTTCGATTCAATTTAATTCGTTCTGTATACACGAGAGTGCTTTGCCAAAAATTACGGGGACACTATACATACACATATGCGCGCGCGCGCGCGCGTGTGTAGATATTGACGATTTTTTAAAATTATATCGTCATATATCCGAGAAAAGCATATTTTTATACGAACGTCTCACACAGTGAAATGAATATACTGTTAAATCTCAACTTGTGTTTTATAAGAGTATATTTACTCTGTAATCTGTTGTAATCTGAAAAAAAGAACTCATTCATTTTTATATTAATACATGGCACAAATCGTGAAATGTAATCAATGCAATATCGTGTTCATAGACAGCTATAAATAAGATAAAAAAATCGAATATGTGTAGATATGTTATTACTTACATTGTACAAAAAATAAAAATGATGTACAAATTGCGAAACATTATGTGTGTTTAATCATGAATACATTTTGACACACTTAACATATTCATGTTACAATAAATTAGAGATGTGCGAACTATTCGAATACGAATCGAATCAAATCAAGTAAAATTCGATTTGATTCGTATTCGAATCGCTATGATTGGGCTTAAAGTTAAATAGTGAAACGCAAATGCAAGAGTGATAAATTTATTTGATGGTCAATATAAATTTGATGCACGATTATGCATGCGATTAATCAAATTTTAAAATATAATAATTATTGTTAATTTAAAAGTCTTTGATCTCTATCAAGTTTCTTTTTCTTCCAGTCAATGGTTTTTGTGTTGACCAAGTTAGTCGCATGTATAATACGCACTAGACTCGTATTGGCCATCGACTTATAACTAGTTTTATATTTAATATTTAAATATATTATATATATATACATATTTCAAAAAACTATATCATAATTAATGTCTTTTTATATAAAAATAATTTTATCTACATATTAGAATTTAACTGACAATATAATTATGCTGTTAAAAAGTAAAAGTTATGATTCGATTTGATTCGAAATAAAAAAAAAAACCTTGATTCGCACATCTCTACAATAAATTTATAAAGTTAAAGAGTTAATAAAAAATAAAATATAAAAACTATGGTGTTTTGAATGTAGAATTTATTCTAAAAATTACGTTTAATTGTAAAGCTGGGTAGAATAGATTAATTCATATTTAGATAATCGATAGAATAAAGAAAATTATTAAAAGATAAGATATATATGTACCTATATATATATATCACTCTTTGAAGCTTAGCAAACAACAATTGGATACTTTGGTATCTATGTATATATAGAAAGAACGAGACCTGTTTCACACTAGACACAATTAGAAACCTCATCAATGCACATTTGAAACTACACGCACCTAGTGAGTTCGAAAAAACTGGAATATTTTTTTTCTAATCTGATGCTATCTTTTTGTTACATACATTACGAATATCGTACGTATCTATTAATTTCAATGAATTCAACGTGTAAAGGGGAATAAATAGAAAAAAAAAAGAGAAATATTATAATGTACTAAGATTGTGCAACTAAATACACATTGTCTTTTTTTTTTCTGACATCTATACAATTATGTACATGCACACAAATTTTTTCTGTTATATATTATAGATTTATACAAATCTAGTATTTTCTCTATTCACTCATCGCATGCACGTCTATCTACTATGAACCAGGTCTCAACAATATCAAACTATCTTTCTTACAGGAATTGCTATTTCTACGTTAAAATATCTGATGTAAAATTGTATGTATATCGAGCAGTCAGAGAATGTGATTACATAAATAAAAAGTCTAGTCCTAAGCGACGTCATCCTTGGTTATCGTTCTCGACAAGT